CGGCGCCCCCCCCCTCCCGTGCCCAGGTCTGCCCCACACACCTCCCCAGAGTGTGAGGCACACACCTTCCTGTGCCCAGTGCTACAGCACACACCTTCCTGTGCCCAGGGCTACCCCCACACCTCCCCAGAGTGTGCAGCACACACCTTCTTGTGCCCAGGGCTACAGCACACACCTTCTTGTGCCCAGGGCTACCCCCACACCTCCCCAGAGTGTGCAGCACACACCTTCTTGTGCCCAGGGCTACAGCACACACCTTCTTGTGCCCAGGGCTACCCCCACACCTCCCCAGAGTGTGCAGCACACACCTTCTTGTGCCCAGGGCTACAGCACACACCTTCTTGTGCCCAGGGCTACCCCCACACCTCCCCAGAGTGTGCAGCACACACCCTCCCGTGCCCAGGGCTGCCCCCACAGCTCGAGTGCTGCCGCACACTGCCCCGCGGTACCTGAGGGACTGCAGGATGGCGTTCATGAAACACGTGTTCCCCAGGTTCCGCAGGCCGGTGGCACACAGGGCACTGCTGCTTCCCTGCAAACGGCAGCGAGTTACAGACACACCGACCACTGCTCCCCCTTCCCCTCCCAGAGCCATTACAGCCAGCACGACACAACGACCAACGACCCTGAGAAATACAAAGTATTTCCAGTCTAGGCCAAGAGGTTTATAAAAACAGATCTGTTGTACTTACATTTACTTTTAATAACTTGCTGTTCAGAGATGAATTTTCCAATAGTTTTCTTTTCCTATGTCTGTCTGATGTAAAGGCTGAACTGTTGGAAGGTAATTCAAAGAGGTTAGTTACTATAAAAACAATCTTGTGTGAAATGGACACCCGACAACCACCCTCATGTTTCACACAGTGACTACATCTGCCATCAGCTCCCACTGACCACTCACAGCCCCCTGGACACCACCTGTGCTCCCACTGACCACTCACAGCCTCCTGGACACCACCTGTGCTCCCACTGACCACAACCTGTGCTCCCACTGACCACTCACAGCCCCCTGAGCACTACCTGTGCTGCCACCTTTTAATAACTTGCTGTTCAGAGATGAATTTTCCAATAGTTTTCTTTTCCTATGTCTGTCTGATGTAAAGGCTGAACTGTTGGAAGGTAATTCAAAGAGGTTAGTTACTATAAAAACAATCTTGTGTGAAATGGACACCCGACAACCACCCTCATGTTTCACACAGTGACTACATCTGCCATCAGCTCCCACTGACCACTCACAGCCCCCTGGACACCACCTGTGCTCTCACACCCTTGGAGGGGCACAGCCCTGACCTGCCACGCTGCCTCCCTGAGCTGCGCCTGCTTCCCACCTAAAATGCTCATCTTCTTCCTTAACCAAAGAAATAATTCATGCAGAATTTTCCATAAAATACAGAAGAATCATCCAAGCCTTTAGGAAGACAACTTCAAGAAACCAGGACAAAGTTACCAAGAATCAAAAATACCTGGAGTGCTAGCACATACCTACTACAGCTGACTGCTCTTGAGTAAAATACACGAGGTTATATCTTTTGTGTGACACAAGTGACAACGATGATGACTTATTTGTTTGTACGTCACTGGCAATTACTGGTCCCTCAGTCATACCTGCTGATGATTTCTCTCTAGTCTGATAGCTAAATCATAACTTGTTCCAGATCTCAGGCCTTGCTTGGTTTGCTTTTGGTTTGGGGTTGGGGGGGGGGCGCTGGATTTTTTTAAATTTTCTTAATCAAAAAGCACTCCAAACATTCCAAGACTGTCCTTGCATGGAACAGAAGCCTCCAAAGATTTAGATCTCCTGGACATTTCCACAATACTAACATGAGCTTCTCATTATGCTTACACATCTTTACATCTCATTATGTACCTGAGAAGGCCATCAAAACAGAAAATAATGAAAAAATTAATATTACCTTCCCAGTGAGTGACACACTTTGCTCAAGGAGGATCCAGACACTTCCCTAAACCACAGCAGACTCTGCCCGAGTCCTGCCTGAGCACAGCAGTGTTCCCACGTCTCCAAGAGCACGGAATGCACATCTACTTTACTCAGCACTGCAGAATGTCCAAGCAAACTGTGCAAACACTGTTTGCTCACTAGCACTGGCCACAGGCCCTGCAGCACCCAGGCTCTCTAACTGCTTTGCAGCGGGACGGGCAAAGCAAAGGAAAAATGTCTTCTGTGCAATTCCAAGTTCATAAACCTTCTTAATCCTTTTGTTTGCAAACCAAACTATACAATTAATATGAAGACTGCTTCCACCTGCATTTTCACCTCAACTTCTCTGATTAAAAAAAACATACTCTGCTTTTTTGACAAAACTATTTCTGTTCTGAAAGATCTCTCCCATTTATATGGGAAAAGACAGTAATTATCATCTAGGTAGGAATTTAATTGACATCTAAATTCCTGTATCATCATATGCTGCTTCTGCAAGATGTACTGTGTGCCAAACAAACCTTGTTCTTCACCTCTGTTCTCAGCCATGAAAAGGTTAAACACACACAGCATCACACAAAGAGAAGGACCAAAATAGGCATTTTAGGTACATATGGACAGATAAAACAAACACCACTTAAATGATGGAGTGTCACAAGTCTGCCCAAAGCACTCTGGATGCAAACAAACCACTTACTTTTCCAAGTTCTGTAGGTGCTCTCTGACCTTCTGTACCAGGCCCAGCTTGGTATCATTGACTACAAAGTCATCACAGCGGTAACTGCAAGGAAAACAGGTGTCAGAATGCACAGCGTGCCGCAAAGCAGCAGCTCAGGACACACTGACAGACATCCAGGGAGAGTGTCTGAGGGAGCACAGCTGCAGACTGAGCTGCTTCCCTTACCACGGAGCCAGAGGTGCAGGCCCTGCATCTTATCCCACTTTTAGTTCAGTTCTCCATCAGGTGAGAAGCATGACACACTGCCTGTCCTGTGCAGAACTCCAGCTCAGCCAAGCTCAAACACACATTGTGGCCAAAAGCAGCACCTCAGCCAGGCCCAGACTTAGCAGGAAAGATCAACACACACCTGGAATCAAGGGGGTTTATTAACCCTTAAACTCTTTAACCCCCATAAGCTGCCACTGGAACTGAGCTGCTGAACACATACACAGCACACAGTGTAGAAGGTTCTGCTGGGGAAAAAAGACCAGGGAAGACGAACTAAGAGATCACGTGAGTTTTGCAGTCAGGCCAGAGGTCTGTGGCAATCTGCACCTTGTGCTTCAACCACAACTAGCACTCAAATGCTCGTGTAGTTTTCAGACACACAAACTCTTATGACAAAACCTCAACTAGAATTTTGAGCTCTTTCTGTGTAAGTGTTCAAAAGCAAGTAACCGAGCTGAAAGAGAGAAGGTGATCCTGCCACTGCCTCCAAGCAAATGTAAAGTGCAAGGGTTGCAAATCCTCTACAGTCCTGTCCTGTTCTACAAGCAGCTCCCATTTCCCCAGAGGCAAAGATGTTAATTATAGGCTAATATTCAAACCACGGGCTTGCAAGGCCTCATATATTGCAGAAATGCAGAGGTTACCAACCACTTCTAAAAGAGGGGAGGAGGGGTTTTTTGGGGAATGGTGAAAAAATCCCACACCTTATTTCAATGTTTTCCAGAGTACATGTAAAGCTTCAGCGCACTCCTCAATTTGAGGAAACAAAAGAAGAAAGAAAATAGCAAAGAAAACTGTTACAAGGAGAACACTGCTAATAGAGGTTCCAGAGTAATGTGGACCCTCTTGTCATAGAATCATAGAATGAACCACAGAACGGCTTGGGCTGGAAGGGGCCTTAAAGATCACCTCGTACCAGGCTCTTCCTTCCATGACCCCAGTACACATGAGTGAGGTAGCAGAAAGGGGAGGGAAAAGATGGACAAAAATCCCTTGAAAGCAAGGAACACAAGTGCTGCAGTCAGCAGGGAAGCTCAGCCCAGCAGAATCCACTACCCAGGACCTCTGTGGAGAACAGCAGCAGCACAGGAGCTGCAGGTGTCCCAGCACAGCACACCTGAGGACCAGCCAGAGGGCAGCTCAGCCACTGATCACCTGCCATCTGGCATCAGACACAGAAGGTAAGAAAAGCTGTTGTTCCAGCTCTTCTGAAGGCACTTTGACAGGAGCAGTGACTTGTCACGGCTTCCTTTCCCCGACAGCCCACACAGGTCACAGCTCTGTGTCTGTCAGCCCTGTGCCTACTGTGAGCCACCAAACTGCAGCTTCAACTTCTGGCAGGCAACTGAATGCTTCCTGTGCAGAACACTAACTCTGGGTATGTTTAATACCAGAACTGCAGCACGTCTCTCCTTTCCCTTTGGCACGAGAGCAACTCAAATGCAAAAATACATCGTCATCGTCTCAGGTTACTCCTCTGCTGGAGCAGATCCACACTTGCTTCATAATTTAATGAAGCTACTGACTTCAGGCACAACTGGAATTTACAATACTCCTTGCTGCACAAATCTGCAGTATTGCTAGATTGCAATGTGTTAATTTTTTAATGATATTAAATTATATAATTGCTAGTGTTAATTCAAACACTAAATTCTTCAAGAGGCCACAGAGCTGAAAAAGGAGAGGTTTTTGCCACCAAACAGGGTCCCTAAGGCCGGTCTGACCAGGACCTCTCTGATTTTTGCTTCTAAGGAGATAGAACCCTCAAGATTTCCAAACACTTACACGAGATGTAGAAATTATTAAAGATGGCTATTGCCAGTAATAGATTTCTATTGTTTCTAAAGATGGCCACAGACACAGTTAGTTTGGGAGGGGGAAGAAGTCTGTTAATATACTTATTTTTCAGTTGCTTTAGGTAGGCCTATTCAGCTTTCTCAGGCAACGCCGATGCCCGATGAAGTGCTCCTGGATTTGTCACTCGCAGGCCAAGCACCAGAGCTCGCTCCCCTGGCCAGCTCTGCAGAGGGAGAACAGGAGCACACAGCACAGTCTGACTCTGCCTGACCCCAGCTGTGTGCCCACCCCAGGTGCCCAGCACACCCACACATGGGCAGCGACAGCCTCTCCACAGCACCTGACTGCTGACAGCTCATGTAAGACTTGCTCCCCTGCCCTAAAGATCATATTAGCCTTATTTTCACATCCCAGTATGGAGGAGTAAAACCAAATACACCAGTAAATGTGAGGGTCCTTACAACAGTGGAAAAGTGATTCTCAGGTTCACTGTATATCAAGACAAGCTGCTTCTGTTTCTCTTTTCAATGGGCAAGGTTTTTAAGCCACCTCTCTTGCAACACTGAGGATTCAGCACTACTACTAGAAGTAACAGCCACCACTATTGCAGACAAACAAAATAAACAGAATCAAAAGTAGTTTATGTTTCAGTAACATACATTTGCTAAGCCCACACACCTTAAAGGTAAACTACTGAGAAATTACATCCTATATGTGAAAACGACATTCAGAACAGATCCTCAGGATCATCACAAATGAACAAAACACCTTTTCTGCATACAGCAGTTCTGCAATATGCTGTAACAGCAATGCTACAGACCAAATTTATACTCTGGGGAGGGTCCCTTATATGGCTTAGCACAGTATTTTCCTCTCTGTCCACTTTCTATTTTTAGTATCTCTGCTAGCTCCAAGGCCTGGTCTCTTCTGGCCTCATTTGCTTCTCAAATGGCAGCGAGCCAGTGAATGCAGGCTCTGCTCTGGGGAACACCAACACTAACCCTGGCACTGCCAGGGGGTCACAGACCCTCATGCTCTGCTCTGGGGAACACCAACACTAACCCTGGCACTGCCAGGGGGTCACAGACCCTCATGCTCTGCTCTGGGGAACACCAACACTAACCCTGGCACTGCCAGGGGGTCACAGACCCTCATGCTCTGCTCTGGGGAACACCAACACTAACCCTGGCACTGCCAGGGGGTCACAGAACTTCATGCTCTGCTCGCAAGCACTGATTGGATTTGGAGCATTACAGAACAGGAAAAGTTAAGAAACACTGAAGTTTCCTTGGTTGTGCTACCACCTGAGTATACAATCACACATACTCTAGGTATGCTGTCATACCAGCTTTACTGTCTGGATAAAAGGCTTTTGATTGTCTTTAATTTTCACTGACTGCAGAATGCAAAATAACGATACTAAGCAATCTCATTTTCCAATGCTCATGCACTAACATAGTAAGTCTCTTTTGCTTTTAGAATAGAAATACCATCACAAAAAAGAAAGACTAAAAGGGAATTTTCCGACATCTTTGGCAGTTAGTTATTTTCATATCAGCCAGGAACACACACACACACACTCCCACACCAATGTGTCCCTTTAAGAGACAACAAGGAGGCTAATGGGTAAGAAATCTGACCTGCAAACTCTGTCTGGGATTAAATGAACACAGGAAACATATTATGCAAATACATCAACAGGGCAGCCTTTCTTCTCCTGTGCCAACTGTCTGTGCACCAGCACTGAGAAGACACGTTTACAAGAGTCCCTTTCAGGAAGGCAGAGCTCTTACACGGATCAGTTTACTTCTCAAGCACAAAACCCCAACTAACACAGCAAGAGAAAGCATTGTACCAGAGTTTGAAGAGAAAAAAGATCTGTACTTCTTGTAAACTCTTTGTGTTTAATACTTTCAGGACTACTGAAAGGCTGATTACCCTGAAAGTGGAATTCAGGAGCCTGTTTTTCTCAGCAGTTAAGATCTCAAACGTAATTTAGTCTGAGGGTTTAGTATTGCATCTGCAGTTTCAAAAGGGACCAAAGAATGGAGAAGAGAGTTGTACTCTCATAATAAATAAAGTATTAACATTCTCTCAACTTTTTGATGGTGAAGCCTGAGCAGGTGGATAGGAGGACATAGAATAAATACCAAAATGCTCTGGAAAGCAATTCCCCAGGTGCCCAGTACACAATGATACCTCAAGCATGCCTGTATTTTCCAGAGTATTACCAAACTCATACAAACAATAAAAACCTCATTTCAGATTTTTTAGAAAAATAAAAATTAACTACCATCCCACCAGAACGGAAACATTTTCCTTTCAAAGCTCTGTTGAAAGCCTGTGGTCATGTAAAAGAAAACATACCTGAAATGCAGTCAGTTACAGGAGACTGCTGGATCTGACCTTGGTTTACAGCTAAATTGCACAATAAACCACAGTAGCTTCAACACTCACACAGTGTTTCTTCCCCCTAGGCTGACATGAGTGACTCAGACAAACCCTGTGCTCTCATGTCCACATGAAAGTTTATGACATGGCTTAAGAAAAGCAAAGGCTCAAATACCACCCTTGGGAAAGAGCCCACACAGGCCTGTTCACTAGAGTTATCATGCCTGCTAAGGAACAGTAAGCTGGGATCCATAGGATAAAAATGGAATCCTACTCAACCCTGTGCAGCAAACAAAACTGCAAATAAAAATATGCCAGCACTGCATCACGATATCACCATTATTTTCACAGGAGAAGTAAAATTCAGCCAAGTCTTAGGATGGTATTTCTCGACTTTCACATTAATGAAGCATCAAACATTGCTAGCATAAGATATTAATCTTTACATACAAGTTCACTTAAAAGAAACATCACTGCATAAATACAGCACTGTCCCCTGGACACTGAAGCTAACAAATAGCTTTTCCAAATTCATTCTCCACAGCAGCTAATTGTGCCTCAACTTTCCCCACCCCTCTGCTCTACCCTCTGCTCTAACTGGCACGCAGCGTTTGGCAGCAGCCCCCAGAGTACTGTCTGAAATAAAGGGGCAGATCAGGTCTGAATGCTTTCTGCTTCATGTTTACACACCTGAGCTGATGTCAGCTGGGTGCAGTAACAAACCCAGCTATCTTCTCGGGATTATCACCTGGGAAAAACTCAACTATCCTAAATGAAAGCAAAGATAAACTGCTTTTGAAACTAGTTCAGCTTCACATTAGCAGAGGAGTTACAATTTGCTAGTGAATTACACGCAACAGGAACCCCCCAAGGCAAAGCTCCCCACAATTAGTTCCAGTTCATCCAGAGATGACTCAGCCCTCTACTTTGATTACAGCAGAAAAGACATCACATGCTAAACTGCTTCTCATCTGTCGCCCACAAACAAGCTGTGAAACACCAGTAGAGCCCACAAGTCACGCCTACCTGCTGCTCAGTTCCTGCAGCAGACCCAGAGCCCTCCCCGGGTCAGCATTCTGCGCTGCCCGAGGTCAGCAGGGTGCACCTCAGCGAGCCTCAGCAAGCTGAGCACACTATTTCGGCATTAGAAATGGAGATGCAACCAAGACTTTAAATACACAGCTAAAATTCCTCCACGGATTATTACCTCAGTAATGAACAGAAGACAGGTCGAACTTCAAACAGAACAAAGTGCCACAACATAGAACTCAGTTACTAACAGTGTTACTTGGGAAAGTGAAATTACCTTCCCACAGCTGTTCCAGTGCTGGTAACTTGTGCATATGTATCACTCAGAAGAACTTAGTTTTCTGATGTTTTCACGTTTAAATAAAGTGTATACAAAAATGAAAGTCCCATATATCAAAAGCTACTCAAACCTTTCTTCTATGCCTAACGTGTGTACAGCTGCACACACCACCTGAGCAGCTTTTGAGCCACTCCAGACAACATTTGTGCAGGTGAAACCACTTAACTGTGGGATGAAAATATTTGTTACAGGAGTATTCCTCATGAAACTGCTGCTTCCCATCAGGATCCATCACTTTCTCAAACTCACAGAAGTTACACACATGAACACACCTCAAGCTCAGATCTCTTGGGCAAGAACTACAGTGTATTACTTTACTTTCTGAATTTTGACAAATAAAGTGTGTGTGAAAGACTCAGCAGTCTGATGGAAGGAGCAACTACAACTGAAGAGCAGCTTTTGCAATTAAAAGGTTAGGGTCTTGACACACCCCAAAGCAAACAGAAGTAACTCCAAACCACATAGCTCTTATTTCAAGAAGGTTCTGTTGTTTAAGTCATTTGACATGTGAGAGTTTAGCCACAACCACGTGCTACAATACACATGCAAAAGCAGATTGTTGTAAAGAGGTGTGCTGGTTTTAGCCAGGATGGAGTTAATATTCTCAGTAGCTAGTGTAGTGCAGTGTTTGGATTCAGAGTGATAATGCTGTCGACAGTGCACTGATGTTTGTTTTCTGCTAAGTTGTGTTTATCCTAAATCAAGGACATTTTCTTTCTTGGGTCTCATGCTCTGCCAGTGAGAAGGTACACAAGAAAGTGGGAGGGAGCACAGCCAGGACAGGTGACCTGAAGGAGCCAGAGGGATATTCCACCCCACGGCACGTCATGCCCAGTGGATCAGCAGGAAAAGGGCCGATCCCAGGGTGGGACCAGTCCACGGGTGTGAGTAATTGGATTCTGCATCACTGGTTTTGGTTTGGTTTGGGGGTTTTTCCTTTCACTTTCTTTTTATTTTCCATCAGCATTTTAGCTCATTCTGCTCTTTATTATTATTGAACTGTTCTTATCTCAACCTACATATTTCACTTCATTTTCTCCTCCCCATTCAGGGCTGGGGGGAAGAGGGGCAGGAGGGAGTGCGAGCATCGGCGTGATTACAGTGTTTAAATCCTTACCAGTATGTACTGTAACTACTGCAATCCATACACACAGTGTGCTGAACTTTCTCTTGCTTTTCTGTTTTCTTATGGTTGGTCGTAGGGATCTGTGCGTCCTCGTAATGCTTTTTTGCATGGCCATTCACATATCTAAAATAAATGAAAAGCAGAAAGTCTTACACTTGCAAGCAGCTAATCAACATTCCTAAAAAAAACAAGAAAAAATGCATCAAATATTTACATAGGCACCAAAGAAGGCAACTAGCCTGTGTGAAAACACTGGTCACATTTTCTGGCTTTTCACCCCTTTACTCTCTCACATGGTCCAAATTGATCTCTCCATCACAGCAAACACAAACTGGCATCCTTGTGCCAAACCCCAGGATCTGTGCTCTTAGCAGGCTCAGGGACTTCCACAACTCTCTTGAACCACACCTGCAATGCAGTTAGCTCTCCACATTGCTTTCCCATACACTCATCCTACAGCTCTACCGTTTTTCTCACTCAGCACTATTGTTTGTGGCTCCTCTGCACACCCATTTTCCTCTTTGCCATTCTGCAGGATGATTTAATATCAGAGCCTGCTATGTTTCAGCGAGTTCATGAATTTGAAGGGCTCTGGGGCTTGGGGTTACGTAACTGAAAAAGAAACCTAAAATCCTACAGCTCTTTTGCTGACACAATGAGCATTTTCATGCTCAGAATCTGAGATCTAGAAAATGAAGCACCTTCAATTTTAAAAAGTGTCATTAAGAGTACTAAGTATCAGCTGAAAACCATTAACACTTCGAAGCCACGGCTAGACCTCGGGTGAATTCCCTCCTGCCCCCACAGTAACCTGGCAGGAAGGTCTCTGCACTCTGTGCCCGCTGCCACGGGCAGGTGTGAACACTCCTCGCAGTGCTGGTGGGGCTGGCAGGACCCTGCACACTGCCACAGCCGACCCAGGCTGCAGCACGGGCTGTCTGCCTGCACTGCAGAGCTGAGCCAACACCAGAGATGCTCTGCTGAGGTAACACAGCAGTGTCCCCTAACCTGGAGGGGGCAACTTCATCCGGAGATGGCAAAGCTCCCCCGTGGATCTAGAACATCACCCGAGCAGGAGAACGTGCTGTGTGCTTTCACCATCAGAGCTGTCCCACTACAAGGCACGTTCCCATTGAATTATTTTCTGCTCTAAAGGAGGGAGCAGTTTGGAAGTCAAAACAAGCTGCAGACTCGATGTCTACTAACTGCACACAACAAAGGTCATACGTGGACAGTATTTTCTAAGATGAGCAACAATTCAAATGTTCCAAACGATTTATTTCACACCATCATAAAGTGTCTCCCCCTCTTAGCTCTCACCAGGTATAAATTAATAAAATACATGAACATATAAAAGCAGGGGGAAAAAAAAGTCTGCTGTTGAAAACTCTGAAGAAGAGACATTTAAAAATGTGGCACTTACTGTTCTCCATATCAAAGAAAAAAAACCCTGGAGTTTATTCAATCCACTTTAAAAGACAAAGTCACTAAGTTTAATGATGCTTTTCCACCAGCACAGATGTTACCCAACAGATCAAACAGGTTAGCATCTCAGACACTGTCTGAATGTCTACACTAACCACATCCCATCAAAATGTGCATCTCAATCCGTTACCTACCAGCAGATTTTCTCCAATTATCCTGACAGAGAAATAACAGCATTGACGGTCTCATTCCTCTACAAATTAATCCGGTGTTGCTTCAGCTAATACCGACAAAAAGCAGGTACAGTCTGAAGAAATTCTGCTGACAGCTAGTTCTTGTGTGTCATGGCAATAACTTTAGTTCCAAAACGACACGACAGGAACGGTTAAGCTATTTCTGTAGCTGGAATGTTGCTGTGCCAACATGTGGCTTTCCAAGAATTCTTAGTGGGTTAATCTTATCATAATAGAAACATCTTTTAAAGAATAGAACTTAACAATAATCTACTAAATTTTCAGTTCTCCAGGCACTTTTTGGACTGAGCAATCACATTTACTGTCCACTCTTCTTTTAAAAAATACACCCCCCAGATCTTGAGTAGAATGTCTGGACTCACAGGAGGCAGCGAAGAACCACATTAAGTATGAACATACGGTGCTAAATGAGACAATAAAAGGTTTATTTCAGGGACCTCTAAGGCTTTCAGGAGAACTCTGACTGAGCTGTCCCAGAGGCAACCAACAGGGCCAAAGCTCAGGGTCCGAGGAAGAGATCGGCACTCTGTACCCACCTGCCGCAGTGGACACTGGAGCACGTCAGACACACCCAGGGACTTTTGTTTGACCGGCACACTAGAAGAGATTTGTTGTAAAACAGTGTCAAATTAATGAAGTCTACTTGATTTCAAAACATGACACACAAGCACCAGAAGGACAAAAACACTGGCAAGCTTCACACATTTTTCTTTTGGCTTTTAATAAGGCAGTGCACCAAACCCAGGGAAAACAGCCCCAGCACTTCTGTTCACAAAACCCACTCCAAAGGGCCCTTCACAACCCACTCCACACACCACGAGACCTGGCCTAAGCTTCTGGCTGTCTTCTAAGCCTAGAAAACTTAAAACATGATGTTTTAAGCTAAAGGGCTTAAACCAAAAAGCAGCAAATACTGTGAAGAGGTGAAATGGCATCCTAGGCCAGAGCCATAGAAACAAGACATTCCAACCCCAATTCCAATCCAGCAGCTGAAATACATATATATATATATATATATATACACACACACAACACTTAGATTTGAACCAAATACAATTGTTGACAGCTGCCCATTACCCCAGAATGTACAGAAATAATATTACACTTTAAAACACCCAACTAATACTATGAGTAAACCAAAATAAAATGCAAAGTGCACGCCTGGAAGGGCGGAAAACAGCAATAAAATACAACTTCCATTATCCCAAAACCACAAACAGGTATGATACCACGTGATTCTTCTACACACCAGAAATAACTGCTTTTCGGAGCAGCCAGACGAGAGTCACGTAGGAAAAATAAGACATCAGAAACATGAGGGTCCCTTAAGGCCAAGGAGTAGAGGGACAAAGAGAAGAGGATTAACCTCAGTGTCCATGTAAACTATTTACATTGTTATTTACTGTGGGAAAGCCTGAGAATAGCCTTCCCCTGCTGGGGTCACACCTCAGAAAAAGGAACTGGAGACACTGAAGCATGCACAGAACTGCTCCAGGGTAGGATCGTTTGAGCAGCACAATTCAGGACTTCTAGAAAAACTCAAAACTTGGCTCACCAAGCTACAAACCACTGCACACGTCAAATGGCTAAGATCAAAGACTCTGAGAGAAAACCAAGCTAACAAAAATCGTTTCTTTATCAAATTAAATGCTAATTACAAGTAAGGAAGGGGTCAATTTTTAATCAGGAGAAAACTGACCAGCTTAGCTATTCAGAGGAGCTGACATACTTTCCCACCATCAAATTTCACCTTTTCTATTTAAAACAGGTGGGGAAAAAAATAGCTACACTGCCTTTCAGACAACTGCTTTCTGGATTTGAATGCATTACTGAAAATAGTTGTATTTCAATTCAAAGGCCAAATCCAAGAAACCTTTAAAACATTTTTACCATGTTACATGGGGGGAAAAAAGCACATTCCCCAGAAACGCTTTTCAAAGTAACTACTTTAAACTCTCCAGTAAAGACTCCAGAATTGCTTTCCTCAGCTGCTGCACTTACTATTTACTTAAGAAATACATTATCTACATGTCTCAGTTACCTGGTTTTGGTTCTCCAACACCATTTTCCTATTTCTAAAGCTGTTGGGTTCCCACAACTGTGATGATGATATTGCAATAGACAGAGGGAAGTCAGGTAGAGCTGTTTTGATTTACATTTCAAGTCAGAAAGGCAGAAGAAGTTTGTCAAACCTGACCAAAATGTTATCAAGAAAACCAGCATTTGGCACTGGCAAAAAGAAGGCAAGGGGAAGACCTTAAATGGCCATCATTAACTAGAAATGGACCAGATGAATGACCAGTCCAACCTGGTACAATCTTATTTCCTTGAATTACATAAACTGAAAGGTAAAATATTAACCAGAAGGACACAGAAGCCAAACCCATTCACACACTTAGACTAAGTGCTGCATGAACAAAGCACTGCCCTACACTGTCCTTGGCAGGAACACGATAACAGTCTTCCTAGCATTAAAATCCCTGCACAAATCTCCCACTTGGTAGTCACATTTTCGGTTTCACTGTGTTATCTTCTGTGGATGAAACTGGTTCTTAACCAGCAAGTAAAAGCATTACTGTGTGAACTATTATTCTTACTTTCCAGCCTGTACCAGACAATCACAATTCCACATTCAGGTACTTTCAATACCTGCATTTCTTGTTTGTGCAGTGTGAAATTACACCGAATTAGTGCTCATTCTGCAGGTTTAAGTGTTCTGCACAAAGCCACCATACAATTCCAACTATGCACAATGCCAAAAAAACAGCATCCACTAAAATTTTCCATCTTTCATACCAAGGGATAGGAAAAGATGGCTCATTTGTTTACTTTAACTTTTAGGAAGAACTTTGCTCCAATTGCATCACATTAAAAATGTGTAGTTTATCTTCTGCACAAACATCTCCACCCAAAGAGCTCAAATAACATGGAAGTGACTCCCACTACGATTCAACACAGAAGCCAATTGTGTGACCTACAACTGCTCTGTTCTGAGGAATGCCTCGACTGATGTTTCAAGACACGGCTGAAATTGCATTCTGTGCCTCTCTCAGGCTGGCTCGTAGGGATTCCTCAACTCAGATCCCCAGGCAGTCACCACCTCCTACTTAATAAATTAAATTAGACTGGAAGTTTCAGGCCTTAGTCAGGACTCTCAAGAAAGGCACCATGGAATGCACAGCAAGAGCAGCCACTGCCCTGAACTACTTATACTCCAAAGGTAGACAGTTCAACTTCACCTGTACAGGCACTGCACGTTAGCCCTTTCAGATGTGGCACTGACGTGAAGGCACGAGGCTCAGCAGCAGCCCAGAAGTGAGAGACACATGTCCACAGCACACCCCTTCTCAATTCAAAGAACACCACACAGCCCTGGAAGTTGGCCCTTAAACCAGCTTGGGTGTTCTGGACTTTCAGACCAGGCAGTTACACCAAACCTCAGGAAAAGTTTCTCGAGCCCATTTGTATAGGCACGAATGCATTCCCTGAATAATCACTATTCCAACTGGGATTTGGGGTTTTTGGTTTGTTTGTTCTTCTAGCACTATTAAAAAAAAGAGGGGGGTGACTCACATTCGCATCCCCTCTTGGATTATGTTCAAACACCTTAACCACATTTTAAAAAATGATCTGTGTTTGTTACACCTCATTTGGGGGTCTACAGTCTAAGGAACAGTGGCTGCTGTCTCAGAGAAAAGTGGCTACTGACACAGTTACCAACTGCCTTATTTTGCTGATTTTTAGAATAGCTTCAAGTGGTAGTGGAAAGATGACATAAACATGTCAAAAGAAAAGGGAAAGCAAATCTGCAATGCCACAATCTTGTCTGAGGTGGTAAGTCACTTGCCATTTTACATCAGAACCAGCTTATTCAGAAGCTTAGAAACACAATTTTTCATCACGCAGTAGGAAGGGGAACTAACTGTCTTTAACAGAGTGACTTCTCTAAGTGAAACCTGAACACTGATTTGTTACACAGCCTACAAAGCTCTCCGCAAACGAAGGAGTATCAACCCATGCCCAGGGGAGCAAGCGAATACCACGCACAGACTCACACACAACTATGGGAACATTCAGAGACATCTCTCCAGCTTCCACTTCTTGTGCATCACACGGATAACGTTCACCGGGTTAAGCCAAGTAGAATGAGCAAGATTTGGCTAATCAGTTTGGCATTCGCACCACAGGGTCCCCACCCCACTTCACCCTCATGATCACACAAATATGGACTTCTCGATAAGAAAAAAAAACAAAATCAAGCTTGAGAACTGACTCCACGTGCAGTCTCGTGAAGCATGGACACTCCTGGCAAACACTCCATTTCTTACAGAACAAAGATGCAGATTTCCACTGCAGGATACCTGTGAAACTAATAGGTATGTTTAAATGGCACACTGCATAGCTGAGCAACTGGCAAAAGAAAAAAAGCAGCAGGAAGAGGAGGAGACAAACAGGAAGCAGGTTCTGTAAGGCAGCCAAGTTAAGAACCCTGCAAGACGCAGGGTCCACCAGAGGACCAGGGAGCAAGCCAGGCTGGCGACCCCCAGCCAAAGCAGCACGAGGGAGCCAGGCCAGAGCTGCCCCAGGGCTGTGCTTACTGCCCAGCTGGAAAACAGCCCTGGAACAGCAGGAAACACAGAGCCACGACGTGTCAGCACAACATGAGCACTACTATGGTCCTCCTGTTCGAAGCATCTTGAACGGACACTAAACTATTCTGATTAATCCCCACTGGCTTTACAAGACAGCCTGGGCTTTCTCCCCAAAAAGAGCTGTAGCAACATTAACCTCACTCCTACAATTGTGTGGTTACACTCCAATAACACAGTAACCTGCACAGAAACATCTGAACTGACCTTTGCTCAGCTCAGTTCATGTTGACACAGTAGGACAGCTACACCGAAACAAGCTAAGCAGAGGAAACGCCACTGTTACTCCACTCAGCACCTGCACAAGGAGCAATATTTACATAGCTGTGGCAGAGGTGCTACACTGATATGTGCTGAGAGCTCACTCCCATTTGGGCAGAAAATGAGAGATCAAACAATTTACCTGATCCTGTACACATCAGAACTGAGCCTACCAGCCCATACACCTCAGCCTTAAAACCATTTTCCTCCAGGCAAGGGTAAACCATCCCAAAACTCATCATAAGCATTACTAAACACACAAAAACACAGAACCCTTCTTTCACCACGAATAAAAGTCACAACAGGATCCAGCCTTCGCCTGACTCAAATCACATTTAAATGTAAGAGAATTCCAGTAAGACTCCAAAGAACACTTAAAAAAAAAAGAAAGAAACAAACAGCCCTCACTCACAGCTATGGAAAAACCCCAAACTATTTCTTCTGTTATTATCTTTCAGACAAAGCCAGAAAGATTAAGTTTTTAGTGAGAAAACAAGTCATTTAGTGATAGTGTGTGAACTTGCAAATATCAACTAACATTAGTGCTCCGGCACAGCTGTACACGTGGTCTCCTCCTCCCTGTCACCAAACATCAGCACTGCTCAGCCTTAGAGCAGTCTCGCAGACGGTTACAGCGAACCATTTCCACTTACCATGGGAAGCCACATATAACTTAGACATTCCAAACAACAACTGAGTAAGAATGTAAAACACAGGTAGCCGAACGGCTTT